ATTTAGGGAGACCAAAGGATCTGATGGCACAACAATGAACTAGGTATGGAAACTGTGGTTGCAATACCTCTGGGCGTACAACTTGATCAACAAGTGACTAATGACTAAAATAAACTAATAAAGGGGGGAGAAAATTAATTGTGGAAGTAAATTGGCAAGAAATATAAAAACAAACAATCAGCAACAGTAATTATAGCTATATAGCTAGAGCTATACTCTAGAGTACAACCTAGAGCTATTCTCTATGAGTACACCTCATGGGGAGGTGACAGCCTAGTGGCATTATCGCTGAAATGTTAATTCAGAGGCCCAGGTAATGTTCTGGGGACTTGGGTTCAAATCCCACCGATGGATAAAAATCTGGATATGAGAGTCTGATGATGACCATGAATCTATTGTCGATTGTTGGAAAAACCCTTCTGGTTCAATAATGTCCTTTAAGGAAGGAAACTGCTATCCTTACCTGGTCTGGCCTGCATGTGACTCCAGACCAACAGCAATGTGGTTGACTCCTAACTGACCTCTGGGCAATTAGGGATGGGCAATAATTGCTGCCTAGCCAGCGACACCCTCATCCCATGAATGAATAAAGGAAAAAAATTAAAAAGAAAGAGAATAGTTAAATTAAGTGTGGGACTCATTGGGGAATGAAACTAGGGAATTGATAATGGGGAACAGGGAATGGCAGATAAGTAAAACTAATATTTTGCATCATTTTGCATGGTGGGATACACTATAAACATCCCAAAGATAAAAGGTATACTAGGTCCTGATGGTGGGAGGAGGGTGGAAATCATGTAATAGTCTCTATCACGAGGGACAAAGTATTTGATAAACATGTGGGACTGAGGGAAGACAAGTCTCCAGACGTAACGGCCTGCATCCAAGGTTTTATAGAGAAGTGCTGCGGAGATAGTGGAGGCACTGGTGAAACTATTCCAGAACTCATTGGATTCTGGGAAGGTTTCAGTGGATTGGAAAATTGTCCATGTAATACCCCTGTTATTGTAGTGAGGGATACAGAAAGCAGGATACCATAGGCCAGTTAGCTGAACATATGTCATTGGGAAAATGCTGGAGTCCATTATTAAGGAAGAAATAGCAAGAAGCTTCGAAAAGCTTAGTGCAATCAAACTGAGTCAACATGATTTTATGAAAAGAAAATCAAGTTTGACAAATTTGCCAGAGATCTTTGAGGAAATAACAAGCAGAGTTGTAAAGGGGAACCAGTAAACATAGTGTACTTAGATGATCAAAACATATTTGATAAAGTGCCACATAAAAAAATTATTGCACAAGATAAGACCTCACAACATTGGGGGGCATGGATTGAGGATTAATTAACACAGAATTCAGAGAGTTGGTATTAATAAGTCTATTTCACATTTGAAAATTTTTAACAAGTGGAGTGTCTCAAGGATCTGTCCTATGGCCTCAGCTATTTACTATCAATATTAATGGCTTGGAGGATAGGGCAGAGTATAATGTATCCAGATTTGCTGACAATACACAAAGGACAGAAGGGCATGTCGTGATGAGGACATAAGAAATCTGAAAGGACACACCAGCAGTCTTCAACTTCCAAACACTTGTACTTACGAATGAGATCCCATATTACAATTAGTTTCAAGGATCCAACATGTAAACATTCGCCAGTACAGATGAGTGTATTACACAGTACTGCATTGTGTCCCGACTTGCATACAAATTGACTCATAAATAAATGAATGTGCTCAGCAAACAAACCCATTGGGACCTGGGGACTGCTGGTATAAGTAGGTTTAATGAGTGGCAACAACTTGGCAGATGGTGTTTAATGCAGGGCAATGTGAGGTCAGTGCTTTGATAGGAAGCACCAAAAGGCAGACTATTATTTAAATGGAGAAAGACTCCAAAAAGGAGTAGCTGGTTGTTCTTGTGCATGAAACACCAAACGTTAGCATGCCAGATACTTAAGATGATGAACGAAATTTATTATTAGGGGGCTGGAGTTTAAAAATGGGAAAATCTTGTTAAAGATGTACAGGGTGTTGGTGAGGCCATCCCTGGAGTATTGTGTACAGTTTTGGTCTTGTATTTTAAAAAGAGTATAAAAAATTACATCGAGAGCTGTTCAAAAGAGATTTACCCGGCTGTTTCCTGGGATGACAGGGTTGACTTATCAAGAACAGCTAAACAGGTTAGGCCTTTATTAATTACGATTCATAAAAAATAGGGGCAATCTTATTGAAGCATAAGGGATTCTGGGGTGTCTTGACAGGATAGTTGATGAGATGATGTTTCCATTAGGGGTGGAAAGTCAAACAAGAGACATAGTTGCAAAATGAGGGGATACTCATTTAAAAATGTTAATTAATTTCCTCTCCCAGAGGTATTGAAAATCTGGAATTGTCATATAGTTGTGGAGTTGTAGATCACTGAAGATATTTAAAGAGGAGATACATAAAATTTTGAAATATCAGGGAGTTGTCAATTATGCTGAGCTGACGTGAAAGAGGAATTGATGCCTTTGGCAGATCAGCCATCATCTTGTTGAATGGCAGGGCAGGCTCAAGGGGTCAAGTGGCCTGCTCCTGCTCCTATTTCTTATGTACAAGCAAGTGGAGCAGAGCCCGATAGAGGGGAAGCTCTGTGAAGACTAAAGAGGTGCAGGGTTCTTTGAGTAAGGTTGTGCCCACCATCAGTTCTCAAGTGCAGTTCCCTTAGCTTCATCGAACCCTGCGGCAATACTTGAGCTGAGTCTGATTCAACAAGGAGCTTACTTGTACCACCTCCTTCAATACAACATGAAGCCTTATACGATGGCAAGAATGGGCCTAGCAGAGTCTGTAAAGGTTGCAGTGGCATTGAACTTCTATACATCTGGATCTTATCATGTGGGAGGGGATGATGTAGCCAACCTCTGCCCATATACCATGCAAGACTGCACCCAGGATGTGATGAAGATGGTCTGTATTGGGAGTGGTGAATGTATCAGAGAAACAGGACCTAAGGAATCTTGACTCTTCTAAATAAGCTGCATGGATAAAGCTACCTTCATTTTGAAGCAGTCTGCTATTCCTGCGCTCTTTGCAATTCCACAGGGAACCATAGCGTGGCTATTTGGAAACAAAAAGTACCTCCTATACAGAGCAGGTGGCCACTGATTACCCTCTTCCCATGCATGGGAATTATCTACAATAAGAGCTATGGAGTGATCAGGAGCATCATGGAGGAGACTACTGGCATGCTGGAGTAACTCTTCTAGTACCTAGCTCACTCACAAACAGCCTTCCAGTCATAACACCATAAGACCTAGGAGCAGAAATTAGGCCATTCAGCCCATCGAGTCTGCTCCGCCTTTCAATCATGGCTGATAAGTTCCTCAACCCCATTCTCCTGCTTTCTCCCCGTAACCCTTGATCCCCTTGATAATCAAGAACATATCTATCTCAGTCTTAAATGTACTCAATGACCTGGCCTCCACAGCCTTCTGTAGCAGTGAATTCCATAGATTCACCACTCTCTGGCTGAAGAAGTTTCTCCTTATCTCCGTTCTAAAAGGTCTTCCCTTTACTCTAAGCCTGTGCCCTCGGATCCTAGTCTCTCCTACCAATGGAAACATCTTCCCAACGTCCACTTTGTCCAGGCCATTCAGGATTCTGTAAGTTTCAATTAGGTCCCCCCTCATCCTTCTAAGCTCCAATGAGTATAGTCCCAGAGTCCTCAAACGTTCCTCATATGTTAAGCTTTCCATTCCTGGGACCATTCTTGTGAACCTCCTCTGAACTTGCTCCAGGGCCAGTACATTCTTCCTGAGATATGGGGCCCAAAACTGCACACAATACTCCACATGATGGAGCCTTATAAAGCCTCAGTAGTACATCCCTGCTTTTATATTCAAGTCCTCTCAAAATAAATGCCAACATTGCATTTGCCTTCCTGACTACTGACTCAACCTGCAAGTTTACCTTGAGAGAAACACTTTCAAGTATGTTAAAGTCTGTGGTGGTCTGCTGCAATCTCCATACATCACAAAGCCACAGAATTCTCTGTCAGGTATCTCATGAGGAGAAGGAGGAAGAGTGAAGGCAGGACATAGTACTACTCAACTCATCATCTTTCCATTTGCCTAGAAGTCCACAAAGGTATTGCATTCCCCCACCCCACTCCCCACCCCTGGTATAGTCCCGCTGAAAAATGGAAAAAGGTGATGTCGTAAGACAATGAAAGAAAAAACATACTACAGAGTATCCTAAATAAATATTGCAGACATTCAAACTAAATTTGCTACAACAGAAATGAACTTTATGGAGGTGAGACCAAATTAAGTAGGTTTTAGGTGCTTTTATAAAATTGACATGCCTACTGATAGATGTCACATGTTCAATCCTCTACTCTCCTTGAGCTGCCTGGCATATTAGAGAATAATGGCCATTCTGGCAATTAATAGCCTGATTCATATAAACTCCCTTTGTTCATTCAGTAATACATCTTGGAAGAGTCTCCCTATTCTAGAACACAGAGAATGCATGTGAGAAAGAGATTTAAAACATATGGCTGTGATTATTTTTAAAAATAGTAAAGCAGGCTAGATAAACTGAATAGCCTACCAGTGTTCCTGTGATCTTAACCTAGTAGTTAGTGATAAATGTCAAGACCTGTCTGAAAACAGTAACCAGTGAAATATTACAGATAATTGTTCTTCTAAATAGCTTTCACCAATTGTCATCTTCTGCAAGGTGAACTTAAAAAGTCTATCTATCCTCTACTGAACTACATCAAGGATGAATAACGAACCATATTTTAAGAGTGAGTAGAATTTAAGTGGTAATCTTTTTCTCACTGTGAATGTCCTGCCTTACTGTCCTCTCAGTGTTGTTTCTGCCTTGTACAGTAGTACTCATATTAAAAACTGCCAACAGAATGTACTTAACTATATATTTTTAAGTAATTTCTAAAGAAATAACATTAACAGTAGAAATAGTGAACAACTGATATTTAATGGAAAATAGACCCACCACAATAGGTTTACTTCCTTTTACTTCAACTGCCTCTGATCCTATTGTGTCATATATTGTTCGTTTCAGGCAGTATTTCATTTTGTATGGTTCTGAGTACTGCAAAATCTTGAGTGCGTCCTCATATTTGACATTATCAAAATAAATTGTAGCACTGATAAGTTGGTCACCTGATGGAAAACAAAATCATACACAAGGTTAAATAGTGATCAGACCCCAAAGTGATTTTAAGTCTTTTCAATTTCTTTGGCAAAGTTCCTTAGTTAAGGTACTATCTGGTACAGTAAGCCCTACTGCATTTGGCACAAACAGAATGAAAACATACCTTTACTGGAAAACATGAATGGGAACTATTGTAACTGCTGCATTTGGGTATGAAAGAGTGAATACAGCAGAAAGCCATGCACACCACCCACAATAATAATGTCATTTGAACTTGTGGATGTATGGCTTGGGGAGTAAAACTTAATATCTGATCCTCTTCATTGTCTCTTTAACAACATTTATCACATCAGTGTAACCTGTGTGATGTAAGTTGTGTAATTTATATTGCTTATTTTTTATCTATGAATTTTTACTTTAAACTAGCATGGAATATGGATTTTCCCACATTCTCTGTTTGAAGGGCTATTGTGATTAACTTGCGACTGTTTCTGTAGAGATAGTAGGAACTGCCGATGCTGGAGAATCTGAGACAACAAGGTGTAGAGCTGGATGAGCACAGCAGGCCAAGCAGCATCAGAGGAGCAGGAAAGCTGACGTTTTGGGTCTAGACCCTTCCCGAAACGTCAGCCTTCCTGCTCCTCTGATGCTGCTTGGCCTGCTGTGTTCATCTAGCTCTACACCTTGTTGTCACTGTTTCTGTACACCTGGTTATTTCTTTTAATATACAGTGTGAGAGAAAGACATCCTCAAGAGTAATGGGAAATTTTTGCCATTGAGAGAATTTACAAAGTGAACCAAGTAAACAGTGTAGTATATTAAGTTTTCAGAAAGAAGATTCTAGAATTGTTTTGGATTTAGGGGAAACATCCAGAGCTTGAAGAAAAGGGGATTTTAAATTTCAATTTGGGCAGTTCTACAGGGTTCTTAGTGGAAGCTGAACATGTAAAACAATTTCTCCTGAGAAAGGGAAAAGATACTTTAGAATTGTTAACCTATATTGCCTCAGTATAACGAGTTTAGTTTGAAAATCCCAGAACAGAAATATTTGGTTAAAGCCCTGAAGGGGTTATATGAAGCTCAGTATGCTTAAGCTCAGTTACATGATGAATCTATCAGATTCACATGACTAGGAATTGAAGCCATAGCTAAGTCAAGCATTATGTGGGATTGAAAAGGACATCTCTCTGGTATTTGTGAACTATAATTTGATACTATTGGGATTAATAGGATTGTATTCTTATTGTGTGTTTCTAAGTATTTATACATGTGTTATATGTAAGTAGTTTGGTTTATTCTATCTTCATTTCTTTTGCATAATCAACTTTTTTTTTGTCAAAACCATACCTGCAATATCATGTGCTAGTATTTCAGTCAGAGACCACCTTGTTAAAAAAGGAAAAGAAACAAAACAAAATGTGATCTATCAAACTAGATTTTAGTCTGGGATCTAACTTGTCCAGTAATAACATCAACTGCCATAATAACACCTGTATCTAGTTGCTAACATGCAATCAACTACTCCTTGTTCAATATAAGAGCCTTTTCTAGTTAGGCCAATACTTGATCTACTGTACTGCTCTAAATACCCATTTAAAGAGGATGATGGCAGCAAACCTATCGCATGATGATATGCAGGCACAGTTTAGTTGCACATACAACAGTAACCTCTGAACATGGTAAACTATCATTTTGTTTCTGCAAGTAGTAGAAATGTATAAATGTCTTGACAATATATTAATTTGGCTGAGATAATATCACTCTAGCCTCTGACTCAAAGGATAGTCAATTCAGGCCTATCCCAGGGTTTGAGTACATAATTTAAGCAGTAAAATATGGAGGGGTGTACTGCATTGTCAGATGTGTGATCTTTCAGATTAGACCTGTAGCTGAAGCCCTAGCGGTTTGTTGTGGTCGCTATAAAAGATTCTGCGGTACTGTTCCAGAGGAGAAAGGAATCCTTTTCTCCCATTATTGCTCCCTCGACCAATACCAAACTCAAATCTACTGGGTCACTGGTATTATCTCTGGAACATATTGTGAATGATTTGTTGTTTTACTGACATTTATTAGACATCCAGCGGATGTTTTCCCCTGTGGGGCAATCTAGAATAAGAGATCATAGTTTTAAGTTAAGGGGTGGCAGGTTGAAACTGAGATGAGGAAGAATTACTTCTCTCAAAGGGTCGTGAATCTGTGGAATTTACTGGATACTGGGACACTGAATAACTTTGAGGAGATTTTTAAGCAGTCATGGGTTAAAGGATTCTGGAGAGTGGACAGTTAAGTGGAGTTAAGGCCAAGGTAAGATCAGCCATGTTTTTGTTAAATAGCAGAGCAGGCTCAAGGGGCTGACTTGCCTACTCCTGCTCTTGGTTCTTATGTTCATATGCACTTATTTTCTATTCTCAGCTAGCCTGAGAGGTGCTAGTGGACTTTCTTTAGAACTGAATGATTGTTATGTCACTCACTTAGCTAAGACTGACTAGGTTGAAGTTGGACAGGAGCCAAATGAAAGCTTGGTTAGGTATATCAGGATGTAAAGTTTCCTTCTCGTAAAGGACATAATGAACCAACAGTATCACTTTTACTGACAACAAGCTATTGATATTAAGGCTGTTTGGCTTTAGGCTGAACACAAATTCTCAAATTGCTATCCTGGAATTTCATGTTCTCTAACTATTAGTCCAGGCCTCTGGATTACTAGCTCAGTAAAATGACCACTGTAGTCATTGTTATTTACATATCTACAATGATTGCATGTAAAAAGGTATTTGTTGGAGGCAAAACAATTAAGAATGCAAGATATAATAAATTGCATTACTTCCATCAATAAAATAGAATGAATAGGCCTAGTTATAATTGAAGAAAAGAAGATCTAATTTTACATTTTGTAAATCATAATTCCAGGTACTTTTATATATAGAACCATTGTCAGTAAAATTGCAGCATGGGTAGAGAATTATTGATGAAATCTAACCAAATATAAAATTGCTATAACAGAGTATGTATTGTTTGTTTTCTTGGTGTTAATGTTCACAGGGATCTTTGATCTTTAGTGAGTAGTTTTCTTTATTTGAATTGAAGTTACTTTGCTTAAATTAAAAAGCAGGCTTTCCTTTGATAGAATGAACTTATTTTCTCCTTCCTAAAGATTTGCATAAGTGCAATCAATATGTTTATATCTTGCTATGGAATCAAACTTTGGCTCAGATATGGCTCAGATTGGTTGTGAAGTGGTGGCACTAGTTTCTGACTTCAAAGAAAGTTACCTACAAATATGTAATGATCTCTGTAATGCAGATTTCCCTTTTCACATTGGTTTGAATTTGTTGCCAAGTCAAGAAAATCTCCAGAGGTCCAACAAAATGCTGCCATCCAGTAGGACAAGCAACCAATCACATTGACATAACACAGTGTGGAGCTGGAGGAACACAGCAGGTCAGGCACCATCAGAAGAGCAGGAAAGTTGATGTTTCAGGTCGGGACCCTTCTTCAGAAATGGAGGGGGAAGGGAGCTCAGAAATACATAGAGAGAGAGGAAGGGTGGGGCTGGGGAAGGTAGGTGGGATGGCGATAGGTGAGTGCAGGTAGGGAATGGTGGGGATTGGTCAGTGAGGTGGGAGGGGCCGATAGGTGGGAGAGAAGACGGACGGGTTGTGTTAGGTCAAGGGAATAGGAGGGAAGGTTGGTCATGGGATGAGGCTGGGGTGGGGAGATTTTGAAAATGGTGAATTCCATGTTTAGGCCACTGGGATGTAGGCTTCCAAGGCAGAATATGAGATGCTGCACCTCCAGTTTGCGGGTGGCATCATTGTGACACTGGAGGAGGCCCAGGATGGACATGTCACACAGGGAGTGGGAGGGGGAGCTAAAATGGTTCGCAACTGGAAGGTGTTGTCATTTGTCGCAAACAGAGCACAGATGCTCTACAAAACAGTCTCTGAGCCTCCGCTTGGTCTCACCAATGTAGAGGAGAACACAGTGGGAGCAGCGGATGCAGTAGACCACATTGACGGATGTGTAGGTGAACACCTGTCTAATGTGGAAGGTTTGTTTGGTGCTTTGAATGGTGGTGAGGGAGGAGGTGTAGGGACAGGTGTAGCACTTCCTGCGGTTGCAGGGAAAGGTGCCGGCGGTGTTGGGGTTAGTGGGGATTGTCAGCAAACCAGGATATAAAATGATTATCTCGAATTATCTTGTATAAAATAAAATGGCTGATTGGTATGCACACATTAGAAGTAGAGACACCATAAACATTTTTAAAATTATATCAAAACCTGAACATTTTTACAGGATGCAGAATGTTTACCTTATACATGGATGAAATTAATATTCCAGGGCCCAAGAGGTTCTTCAGCAACAGTTATAAAATTAAAAACGCAATTATATTTAATTAATAATAAGTAATTCTTGAGTAAGATTTTAACTGTGATATTAGAGCATAAAAGGGAAAGTTTATGTCAGTTTTCTGATTTCTAGTGGGTTACAGTGAGGATGAAGTGAAATAAACTGTCTTAAGGGGAATTCCTGATAGGAATTTCTAGATTTCTAGTTAACTGCGCATGTGTGAAACAGAGAAATATAGATATTAGGAGTAGGAGTCCTATAACCTCGCTCCACCATTCAATATGATCATTGCTGATCCTCTACCTCAATCGCCTTATTCCCACTTTCTCTCCATACCCCTTGATGCCCTTCATATTTCAAAATGTTATCAATTTCCTTTTTTAAATAGGCTCGGTGACCCTGACTCCACAGACTCCTTTGGAAGTGAATTCCACAGATTGACCTTTCTTTGAGTGAAGAAATGTTTCTTTATGTCAGTCCTAAATGGCCTATACTGAGACTGTGACTTAACGAGGGAAACATCCTTCCTGCATCTAGACTGTCTAAGCCTGTTAGAATTAAGTATGGACTTCGGAAATGGTTGTCAGTTTAAGAGAACTAATGACCTCAAACATGTTTCAATGTTGTTACTATCACATGGTCCAGGCCTCAGCCTTGCTTTCTATAATACTTGTACTGACATATTATTTTTCTATAATTTAGCAGTACTAAGTTGACATTAAGTGATATTTACAGCATTATAAATTTTGGCAATTGCCTTTTTTCCAAAGTTACACCAGCTGTTCTGTGCGAATAAGCCTTCGTATGCTGATCACAATTCAGTAAGCTTTAAGGTACTGATGGATAGAGATAAGCGTAGTTGTCAGGTGTAAGTGCTAAATTGAGGGAAGGCTAATTACAACAATATTAGGCAGGAACTGAAGAATGTAGATTGGAGGCAGATGTTTGAGGGCAAATCAACATCTGGTATCTGGCAAGTGTAAGTTGCTGGGAATGCAGGGCTGGCACATTCCGAAAAGGATGAAGGATAAGCATGGCAAGTTTAGGGAACCTTGGATAACGAGAGATATTGTGAGCCTAATCAAAAGGAAAAAGGAAGCATATATCAAGGCTAGGGGGCTGGGAACTCACGAAGCAAGGGTGGAATACACGGAAAGTCAAAAGAAATTTAAACAAAGAGTCAGGAGAGCTAAAAGGGGTCATAAAAAGTCATTGGCCAACAGGATTAAGGAAAATCCCAAGGCTTTTTATACATATATAAAGAGCAAGAGGGTAGCCAGGGAGAGGGTTGGCCCTCTCAAGGACAGGGAATGAAATTTATCTGTGGAGCCAGAGGAAATGGGCGAGGTATTAAATGAATACTTTGCGTCAGTATTCACCATAGAGAAGGACTTGGTAGATGGTAAGTCTGGGGAAGGGTGTGTAGATAGTTTGGGTCATGTTGAAATCAAAAGGGAGGAGGTATTGGGGGTCTTGAAAAACATTAAGGTAGACAAGTCTCCAGGGCCTGATGGGATATACCCCAGAATACTGAGAGAGGCAAGGGAGGAAATTGCTGGGGCCTTGAGGGAAATCTTTGTATCCTCACTGGTTACAGGGGAGGTCCCAGAGGATTGGAGAATAGCCAATGTGTTCCTTTGTTTAAGAAGGGTGGCAGGGATAATCCAGCTAATTACAAGCTGGTGAGCCTTTCATCAGTGGTAGGGAAATTATTGGAGAGGATTCGTCGAGACAGGATTTACTCCCACTTGGAAATAAGTGGGCGTATTAGCAAGAGGCAACATGATTTTGTGAAGGGGAGGTTGTGTCTCACTAAATTGGTTGAGTTTTTTGAGAAAGTAACGAAGATGATCGATGAGGGTAGGGCAGTGGATGCTGTCTACATGGAGTTCAGTAAGGCCTTTGACAAGGTCCCTCATGGCAGGCTGATACAGAAGGTAAAGTGGCATGGGGTCAGAGGTGAGCTTGCAAGATGGATAAAAAAAACTGGCTTGGTCATAAAAGACAGAGGGTAGCAGTAGAAGTATGCGTTTCTGAATGGAAGGCTGTGACTAGTGGCGCTCCTCAGTGATCAGTGCTGGGACCTTTGCTATTTGTAATATATATAAATTATTTGGAGGAAAATGTAACTGGTCTGATTAGTAAGTTTGCTGATGACACAAAGGTTGGTGGAATTGCAGATAGCGATGAAGACCGACAAAGGATACAACAGAATATAGATCGGTTGGTGCCTTGGGCAGAGAGATGGCAGATAGATTTTAATCTGGAAAAATATGAGGTAATGCAATTTGAAAGGTCTAATCCCATTGGAAAATATACAGTAAATGGCAGAACCTTTAAGAGTATTGATAGGCAGAGAGATCTGGGTGTATAGGTACACAGGTCACTGAAAGTGGCAATGCAGGTAGAAAAGGTAGTCAACAAGGCGTACGGCATGCTTGCCTTCATCGGCCAGGGCACTGAGTCTAAAAATTGGCAGATAATGTTGCAGCTTTACAGAACCTTAGTTCGGCCACATTTGGAATATTGTGTTCAATTCTGGTCACCACACTACCAGAAGGATGTGGTGGCTTTGGAGAGGGTACAGAAAAGATTTACGAGGATGTTGCCTGGTATGGAGGGCCTTAACTATGAGGAGATGTTAGAGAAACTTGGGTTGTTCTCACTGGAACGACGGAGATTGAGGGATGACCTGATAGAGGATACAAGATTATGAAAGGCATGGACAGTCAGAAGCTTTTTTCCAGGGTGAAAGAATCAGTTACCAGGGGCCATAGGTTTAAGGTGTGAGGGGCAAGGTTTAAAGGTGATGTACGAGGCAAGTTTTTTATACAGAGGGTGGTGGGTGCCTGGAACTCGCTGCCAGGGGAGGTAGTAGAAGCAGATATGATAGTGACTTTTAAAGGGCATCTTGACAAATACATGAATAGGATGGGAATAGAGGGATACGGTCCCCGGAAGAGACGGGGGTTTTAGTTGTGATGGGCAGCATGTCAGTGCACACCTGGAGGGCCAAAGGGCCTGTTCTTGTGAGTAATTTTCTTTGTTCTTTGTTCTTTGTATTTGCACAAGTAAGGTTTGTTTTTTCATATTTAGGCTGTGTGGAGCTGCAACTTGAGGAATAAGAATTATCCAATTTACAGTAATAAATCTGTTGGATTTAACATAGCTGCATAACATGCTCTCAGATTCTCTTAAAATGATAGCTATCATCATACAAATCAGAGTATTACAGAGTAAAGTCATGAATAACTTTGTTATACTATTTTATGAAGTTCTAGTTATCACACTATGTGTTGATAATGCTATATTTCATGTCAGATGTAGACTAGAAAATTCAGACAATGAATCGCCTGGGATTTTTCATAGTAAGGTACTTCAGATTCTGCATTACCCTTTAAAAGTATTCAATTAAATTCTTTCTTCTACTTTTCACCAGAGACATTAGTCTGCTTAAAATGAAATAGCAAAGAAATGTAGATGGGTGAGTTAAATGTAATGATTGCTGATTACATTAGAAGATGGACAGTACGTTTGCATGATGTTGGCTTGTTTGTTATTTTTCTACAGATCATAAGTTATGCATGGACTGAAAAATGTCACCCCAATGCATTAACAACTTATATACTCACATTTCTAATGTAATAGTCTACTAATTCCACAGAATACCTGAATATGATCACTTAGTACTTTCTTCTCTTTTATCATGTCCTTGCTTGAAGATGATCTGGATTCTCCTGACTATAATAGCTTCAGCAGAAGCTTGGCAGAAACCCTAATTTAGATGTGCACAGGTACCATCTCACCCTCTGTGAATCAGGAATACTCCAGAGGATATTCCCAGCAGTGTTACTAAGGTCCTAAGATGCATGCTGGCCTCCAATGTGTTTGCTGTGCAAATCAAAGTATTTGAATATCGGGACATAGTTGGATTCTATCCCCACTTGCACTTTCCAGTAGAGATCACTAGGTCATGATAGTTAAAGCAAAAGGAACACGGGTTGGTTTTGCTATTGTCGAGCTTGGGGAAGCTAAGATCAACTTTAATTGTTTCAAGCAATGCACCAGCTGTGATTAGCTAACTCAGCAGAGGTTAAGTATTAAACCAGGAATCTCCACAGTCTATAGGCCTTTGTTAGCAAATTAGATAACCACACTAATTCTTTTGGTTTTAAACCTTCACACAATATTCAGTGAATATTTAGATATGCATTACCTTCTCTCATTCTTAGCTGTTTTGCTGCAGGAGACTCCTTCAGAACATGTTTGATAAATATGCCCTCTTTTTCTCCCCTTTTAACACTGAAACCAGTTGCACCTACTTCAGCCTCTGTGTTCACAAACACTTCTACAATATCCTTTTCCTTTTCTTCCTGTAAAGAAATAAGAAGAAAATGCAAATAATGCAGCAGGCAGTTTTTATATTATTTTGTTCGATTTGTCTCCAAATTATGTACAAGCTTTTAAAACCAGAAGTAGCAAAAATAACCTACCATTTTGTGACTCATGTTTGCAGATAATTGTTTCTTTGACAAAATTTCTAAATCTTTTTTCTGGTCTGTGATGTCACCAAATTCCTCATGTGGTATCTCCCCCAGCACCTGCATACAAAAGTTCAGTAACTGGTTGAAATGAGTGAGAATCTGCAAGGTTTTGATTGCAAAACATAACACTTGCATTGAAGTAAATCTGTATTAAACAATCCTATAGCACGGTTTGAAGCAGATGATTGAAGCTTCACCTTTCTATCAGCACTTTCAGAACAAGTGGCAGCTTTATTAGATTCTGCAGTGGGATGCCTTAAGGATAGCTGTCATAGCAGTTCCACTGGTAGTGATACCTCATTGAAGTCCTAAATACAGAATGGGACCCCAACTGCAAATTCTATGGGCTCCTGAATTCTTCTGATGGGAGTATTGCTTCTCTGTTTCTCAGCCTGTTTTAAATTATCAAACATCAGTGGGAATGGGATAATAAATGGCACACCGTCATCATCAATCAAATACCTCCAAATTCCCCTTTGAAAACAGGAACAAAAATCAGCTGCCATGATTTTGTGCAATTTTGCCCAGTGCATTGTGAATTCAAACTCAGAGATTTCTGTGAAAAATGTAAAAACCACTGGACGCTACCTCTACAGCATTTGACCTCAGCTAAAAAAAACACACAAAGATGGTAGAAAAAATATACCCAAAGGGATAGGGTAGGGGGGATGGGTCTGGGTGGGATGCTTTTTGGGGGGGTTCGGTGTGGACTTGATGGGTGAATAGCCTACTTCCACACTGTAGGGATTCTATGATCCTATGATGATTCTATGAGAGAAGTAGGCACCTAGTATGTTGGAGTGTGAGGAGCAAGGCTAATGTGGTCTGTGGATTTTAGCCACATTTATGAGCAAGCTGGATGCTGGTCATTTTGGTCATTTTGAATTTTGATGGCACTTCAGTGCATGGTTGTGGAGATTAGCAATACTAAGTCCTACAAATTAGGGCTAACTACAGAAGGTCCCGGAGTATGGAAATACTGCAGAAAGGACCTTTGGCTGAACTGGAGGTTGTATTATGGATATTAACTCTCTTGGTGACTAGGTTAGCATGGTGAATCCTGGATTCCTATAGCCCAGCTGAAGGATACAAACAAGTAGCAGCATTGTGCGAGTCGAGTGCCAGTATTGGTCAGTATTGTGATGGCATCTGAGTTTGATATTACTGGAGAACATCCTGGGATCTGTAAACTTTCGAGAGAGTGGTCCCAGAGTTTGGAAGTATTGCAAACTTATAGGGGGAGGTGATGCCCTAGTGGTATTATCGTTGGACAGTTAATCCAGAGACCCAGATAATGTTCTGGGGACCCGGGTTCGAATCCTGCCATGGCAGATGGTGGAATTTGAATTCAATAAAAATATTCTGAATTAAGAATCTAATGATCACTGTGAATCCATTGTAGAAAAAAACCCATCTGGGATTCTATGAACTATGAACAAATACAATCTGGCTAATTAATGCCCCACCAGTCTATTCTCAATCATCAGTAGAGCGATGGAAGGTATCATCAACAGTGCTATCTATAACCTGCTCAGTAATGCCCAGTTTGGGTGCCACCAGGGCCAGTCAGTCCATTACAGCCTTGCTTCAAAACATAGAAAAATTGGATAGAAAATGAGGGTGACTACCCTTCACATCAAAGCAGCATTTCACTGATTACGGGAACATGGGCCCAAGCAAATCTGGAGTTTGTGAAATCTGTGGTAAAACTCTCTCCTGGTAAGAGCCATACATAGTACAAAAGAGGATGGTTGTGTATTTTGGAGGTAAATCATCACTGCAGGGGTTCCTCAGAGTACTATCCTAGATCCAGACATCTTCAGCTCCATCATTAGTGACTTTCCCTCCAATATAAAGTCTGGGTTGGGGATGTCCAATGATGATTGAACAATGTTCAGCACCATTCATGACTGAAGCAGTCTGTGTCCAAATGCAATCAGACTGGACAACATCTAGGCTTTAGCTGATAAGTGCCAAGTAAGATTCACACCACACAAGTGCTAGGCAATGATCATCTCCAAAAAGACAGGATCCAAACAACACCTTTTGACATTCATTTGTATTACCAGTACTGAATCTCCCACTACCAAAATTCTAGGGGCTTACCATTGACCAGAATCTGAACTGGACTTGTCATATAAATTCTGTGGCTGCAAGAGCAGGTCAGACGCTAAGAATCTTGCAGCATATAACTCACCACCTGACTTCTAAAGCCTGTCCCACCATCTACAAGGTACATGTCAACAGTGTGATGGAATACTCTCCATTTGCCTGGATGTGTGCAACTCCAAACACACTCGTCAAGCTCGACATCATCAGGACAAAGCAGTTGGCACTCTGTCTAACACTTTCAAAATCCACTCCCTCCACCATTAACGTTTAGTTGCAGCAGTGTGTACCATCTACAAGAAGCACTGAAGCAACTGAGGTTCCTTAGACAGCACCAACCAAATCCACAGCTACGACTGTCTAGAAGGTTAAGGGGAACAGATGCATGGGAACACTACCAACTGCCATGCCGCACACACTATACTGACTTGGAATGATATTGCTGTTCCCTTCATTGTTGCTGGGTCAAAATCCTAGAACTCCCTCTCTAACTACTTTGTGGGTTAATCTACAGCACGTGGACTGCAACACAGAAACATAGAATCCCTACAATGCAGACAGAAGCTATTTGGCCCATTAAGTCAGCACCAATCGCTTGGAGTGCATCCCACCTAATCCCCATAGCTCCACGTTTACTATAGTCAACCCACCAAGCCTGCACATCCCTGAACACTACAAGACAATTCAGCATAGTCAATCCACCTACCCTGCATATCCTGGGACCAAGGGTGAAAACCGATGCACTCAGAGGAAACACACACAGGCACAGGGAGAACATGCCAACTTCACATAGACAGTCACCCAAGGCTGAAATTGAACCCAGGACCCTGGTGCTGTAAGACAGCAGTGCTAACCACTGGGCCACCATGTCTACCAGTGGCTCATTATCACCTACTCAAGGGCAATTAGGGATGGACAATAAACGCGGCCTTGCCAGTGGTGCTCACATCCCTTGAATAAATAAAAAGAGTTATCATGCATTAATCATTCACACTTACTTGAATGGGCAAGTGCAAGTCTTTCTATGTATTTAAGTGCTAAGTCTCTAGGAGAGATATCAGTATGTTGCAGCTTCTGGAGGGAGGATTGTTTCACTACCAACTTCCTGATTTCCACTTTTAACTGCACATACATGGGCACTGGAGCTTTCTGATCTACGATATTGTAAGCCTCACTGTGATTTCTACCACAAAATCAGGACCAATATACTTCAGTGTGCACTCTATATGTGGCCCAGAAAGAGATAAAATGAATAAATACTGTCAATTTGTTTGTACATGGAATTTGGGTAACACTGGTAAGGCTGGTCATTGTAGCCTGTCCCTATTTGCTCTTGAATATGGTGAGTCAGTAGTGAGCTGTTATATTGATGGTCTTCCCATCAAGTCAGGAATTCCAAAGTAAGGTCTCAAAATTAAGAAGCAACTGCAGTATATGTTCAAGTCAGAATGCTGTGGGACTTGGCAGAGAAAATGCAGGTAGTGGCATTCCCATGAACTGCTACCCTTGTCCTTCTGGGCAATAAAGGTTGTAGGTTTGAGAAGCACTGTTGAAGAAGGCCTGATGAGTTGCTTGTAGATGATAAACATGACTGTCCCTGTGTACAAGTAGTGGAGGAAGTGAAGGTTTATAATGGTGGATGGAGTACCGTTCAAATGATTTAAATATATTTTAAGCCAGATGATTAATGTTCACGGGTATGTTTGAGATGTTTGTATATCTGCATTGATGTGTTTATGCATTGGTGAATATTTACTAGTATTTGACAATCAAAATTTGAAGAAAAAATGTTTAAATATAGGGAATGTGTGTTTGTTATTTGAACGCATATATTTTGTTCTGCTGCTCTGGTCAACCTGTCATTATTAAACATGTTTTTACAATAAAGAATTATATTGATTTAGAACTTTATGACATCCTACAAACACCCATTAGCATTTTACAACTATTAGGTAACTTTTGAAGAGCAGTCATTGTCTTGATGATAGCCAATTTTAGCAAGTTCACGCAAGCAACAAATGAATGAGTGTCCATATACTCTATTTTGTTCAAGATGGCTAGGAGGGGAAGTTTGGCCAGGACACTGAGAGTTCACTGATCTTGCACACCCATCTGAATCAGAAACGGGTTTTGAAAAAGCATGGCACCCTAAATATTGCATTGAAGATTCAGACAGATTACACTAAAATCTGCTACAGAACCCACAAGTGTTTGATTCCTAGTTGAAAGTGCTGCCAACTGGTGCATGTATTCATACTCGAGAGGCAATCAGAACTACAGCTCTTTTTTTTCCCCATGTTTTGCATTTTCTTGCAACTTCGCTGACCTTCTTGGGAAAACAGAAAGTTGAAAAGACAAACAAAAGGTCATGCAGAGCTGGGTGTGATCTAGAACAGGCGAGGTTGTTAGGTGCAATTAGCCCGAAGCATTTTCTCATGTTTTGCAAAGGTTACATCAAACATAGTTACATAGAGCGAAACAAATTTAACAGTTGGTTGCAGCATTTTAATTTTAATTTTTCAGCTTACAAAGCAATTCTAGACACTGATTTGAGTTATATTGTGAAAAGTCAAGAGGAGGTAGTATTTTTACATTTTTTTTTGTTGGACATGAATTACAATCTGTGCATCAACATTGATTTTTAGAGGAAGATGAATATGGTATGATTTAGGGAATTATTTAGTAGAAAGAGTATAGGCAAAGCTGAATTGAAACCTTTCATATTTTTTGTCATTGGTACTCAAGGTATAACACATGAAAGGCTCGCTATGTAGTATAGAAACATAGAACTGTAGAATACCTACAGTGCAGAAAGCAGCCATTCGGTCCATGGAGTCTGCACCGACACCAAACAGCATCCCACCCAGACCCACACCCCACCCTGTCCCCATAACCCCACATGGGGTTTCTACTATGGCTAATCCACCTAAGGTGCACATCCCTGGACACTGCAGGGCAACTTTTACCATGGCCAATCCACCTAACTTAACACATCTTTGGATTGTAGGAAGAAACCAGGGCACCTGGAGGAAGCACCCAAGACTGGAGTTGAACCCGGGTCCCTGGCACTCCAGTAGAAGGTGTTAGATGCTCACATGAACTACAGCTCTTAGACAGTGAAAACAGGACCACCCATGCAATGGCGTAGTCTGATCTAAGTCCAAGAAGCTGACTGTTATAAGACAGAGATGACTTATCTATGAAGATCTATGACTTCTGAAGAAGGGTCCAGACCCAAAACGTCAGCTTTCCTGCTCCTCTAATGCTGCTTGGCCTGCTGTGTTCATCCAGCTCTACACCTTGTTATCTCAGATTCTCCAGCATCGGCAGTTTCTCCTATCTCTGATTGTTATAAGACAGTTGGTTATGTTTTAAACTGTCCTCTTTAAGCCAAGATATTCTGGAATAACTTGGATAGAGTGATGTAACCTCATACTAAATACTAAATACACCATGAGACAAACCCATGTGAACTACTTGTTATGGAAATGGAAACTCAAATCAAAGTTTATTACAAGTGAGGTGTGAGATTTAACACCTGGATACAAAGGAGGCAGCTGTTCCTGTTGTGTACAGACTCACAGCTGAATTCTCGCCTGTTGGCTGAAGATCTGGAAAGCCACCCAAGATGCCAATGGAAAGGCCCACAGGCCAATCAAGCAATGTAAGGCCAACAGAGTGCCTTCCTCTGGAATCAACACCAAGGGGGTGGAAGTTTTGCCTTCTCAGAGCTGGCAGCTGATCAAGCCCAGGAGCTCTTGTTTTAAGAAAATACAGCTGCCAGCAAGTTTGAAAGCACATTGCAGTTACCATGCCCTTGGCTGTTTGTCCCTTCCTGGATTCTGTATTCCCTTGGTTTTCAGGGTGCTTAGTGTTTGCACTTATGTTCCTACAGGCTGCATTGGCTTATTAGATTGCTGCTGTTCTGACTTCCTATCGTCCCTAAATTGCCTTATAAGAGAAGTAAGCCCTCTCACTCCCTTCCGTACTGTAAACTATTTATTTGCACTTTGACACTGAGCCATTGAATACTGCTCAATAGTACGGTGTTTCATTTCTGCTCCATTTCATTCTTCTCTCTGACTTGCCCTCTGTACTGTTCTGAATTCACAGTAGCATTATCAGTTACATCATCATCATCGTTATCATACTTACATTCTAATTTACAACAGCCCTTGTGCCCTGCAGCATCACAGGGCAGTCCAGGGAGAACACTCTGTGTAGTCACAGGATTGTGGAGAGACAAAGGACATAGCAAAGTGGGAGTGGATGGCATTTCCAGGGTTGGGGAGTAGGGTGTGGGAGCATAGTTCAAGGGCAAGGGTCTGGCTCTCAACAGGCATCCCCTTTCCATTATCTAGTCCTCAATCAATGTCCAGTCCCTTTTTCTGAAGAAGACATTTTGGTGTTGAAGAGTTCTCTACAGATGCTAACACAGCAACTGCGTTTCTCCAGCACTTTCTGATTTTATTTCTGATTTCCAGTATCTGCAATTATTTGTTTTTGTCAAATTTTAAACCATACATATTTATTTTCCAGTGTTTACCTTTGTTCCTAAACATGAAAGGCAGCAGTGGCGTTTTAAACTTTTCCAGGCTCAACAATGAGTTCATCAATTTTAAATCATAATAACCACTTCCATTTCATAGGACAGCAACTGTTGGTAACAATGCTGGTATTACTAGTTACACATCTAAGACTCACCTTTTGCTTTTTAACTTGTCCCATTACATTCCTCTTTGGCCTTGCACCACATTCCAGTTTACCATACAACCACTTTCATCCTATCACAGAGCTTCCTTTTTGCTCATTCCTCCCTCTTCCTGTCCCTGCCTAAATACTTTCTTAAAAACCTACTGCATCTCATTGGCCAACAATGTGAACTCTGTCTGTCTCCACAACTGCTGCCTCCACTGCTGAGTATTTCCACAACTTCTGTTGCTGTTGCAGTATATTGGAGTTACTGTCAATTAATGCAAAAAAAGTCTGTCATGCGACCACTTTCAAGAAACTGCTGTGTGACAGCTCATTGCTTCACAAGAAGTACCCTCAGAGATCTGTCATGTATTATTTCAAACTTCTATGCCTCTTGCTTAGAATTAAAAGCATTCATATTCATGTGACAAAATCCACCTGAAGTGGAGGTTCACCAGACTGATTCTTGGTTTGGTGGGACTGTTCTTTGAGGAGCAATTGTGGGACTGAAAGGATGTTTCCCCTGCAGGTTCAGCCATTAAGTAAGTTGAAGACAGAGAAGATAAACATGTAGTTACTAATTGTATCAAGGGATATGGGCGTAGCCCAGGACTCTGACGTTGTGTTAGTATCAACCATGATCTTTACTGATTCAAGGGGTTGAGTGGCCTCCTCCTATTCCTATATTCCATTCCACAGTAGTGTATTTAGACGTTTAGTTGTAACAACCTACTTGTACCATTACTGCAAAGTTGGTAAATGTGCAATAAATGTAGTGATTTGATGCAATTAAATATCCAGGTCCTCCTCCTTAGAACAATTAAGCTCTCTTTTCAGAAAGCTTTTAGTTTTTTGGCTTTTAATTCTGCCTGTTTGATTATCTTGAAAAACAAAGTCAAACTTGCATAAGGTGTTGTTCCCCCAGTACTCCATAGACCCCAAAAAAAATGGTGGGCGGGACCCAGATACATAAGATTCAACAGATCTAATTGTAGCCAGCAGGATAAGGGCTGAAGGTGTGAGTCTCACAGGATGGAAATCCAAACTCAAATGGACCATTTGAACTTAGTGCTGACCCCCAACCAGATCCCATATGGATTTGCACAAGGGCTTAACGCTTGGTGTGAGTGACAGATTGATGGAATAGACATTCATGTTTTGAAGGACAGTCAGCAATTTTTCCAACTGTCATGATCCGAAATTTTTAAATCTTTTACTCTTCAAATATTAAAAGAGCAAGTTGGCTTTGAGGTGGCATAGGGGTCATAAGGGGCCATAGATGTTGATTAATGGTTTGAGAGGTGACAAAGTGAAAGGTGTGTCAACTCCTAAATACCTGAGACAATGTCCCAAAGAACTGAGTAAAGCCTTCTCACCAGCCTGTCTCAGCACTCGCCTATCTCCGTGTCTGCGTCAGATCTGCTTCAGGGATCAGCAGGCCAGAAATGATCCCAATCCTGCCTCCCAGAGCAAATTGAGTCAAGCAGGCGTCCTTTAAAATGGCATGGGTCTGCCAATGCTGGAAATTTCCAAACACAAGCTAACCAACTCTATAGCAAAAATCATTACTTTGAAGTGGAAATCCCATGCATCCAAAAATGTAACTTCAGCACATTTAGAACTGTGACTTCTTCTGCTATTGCTTACATTTCTTAGTTTAAGCTATATGTACATATAAGAAAAGGGTAAAAGCAAGTGGTCAAATTTAATGGAATTGTAGTTTGAACAAAAATGAGGGAGTGAACTTCATTTTCAAATTGACAAACACAGTGCAGAGTACTTTCAGGATTCACGTTGTTGGGGTAGGGATTGGGTATGTTGGGATTTTGTAATCTGCCATTCCCAAAAGAATCACATTCATGCTCAAGGGTCGTTATTTCAGGCAACCTACAATTTTACATCCAAGGCTGAATTGTGGATCACCCTTGACGTTAGCTGTTTTGTTGTCATTTCCACTTCATACTTGTTTACGTACCCTCTTTCCCTTGTATTCTTCTGCTAATGAATAGTCATATACTGGTGAAGACCCCTGGGGCCTTGGTCTAACAGTTTCTACAAATTCTGTTGGCAGCTCACACACCTATGAGAGAATGAATTACAAATAAAATAAATTCTTTTAAAATATTAGCTTATTCTCAAAACATGATATCAATAATATAATGAGCATGTAAAAGATTATTTTGTGTGAATCGTTTTATATTTTGCAATGGAATAGCAATAACTGATATGATCATTGACTTTACTCTGCCTGCTTGCCAGCTCAACAGTTTGTATGAAGATCTAAGCATTACTGGTAAAATTTTAAATATTTAACATACTAAAAGCTGAAAATAGTGCAAAACAACGATAGTATTTTGTGTAAATGCATATTCGTTCAATGAATGTAATAAAATCAAATTAGAAATGTCTATTTAACTGATATTGCATTTAATAAATTCTAAGTTTCATTTTTAAAAAATGTACTTTAAAATACCAGTGCAGCAGAACGCTAATAAAATTAGCATATAAAAGTATTTGACACAAAATGCATTTACAAATTTTTAAAAATGTATTACTTACAGAATCATGTTCCCCAGGGTCTACCTCAGCCTCTTTTAAACACTGGACAGAACCTACAAAACCGTTAAGATAAATGACCCTTAGTGATTAGATAACATACAGCAACAACTGCACACATACTCCAGAGTTCTGGTTACATATGTTCTGATAACACATGCAAGCATCTCATTTAGTCCTGTTTCTAAAATGGTCACTGATTCCTACATCAGAAATCTAATAGACAAGAATAAGCATCATATATTGAAAGGTGTCTCAAAGCATATGATTGCTGAAAACTACTTCTAATTATTACAATAGTAGCTATTTTTGAACCTTACAAAAGGCTTAACTTGAAGATAATCATAAAATACTAGATCGGTAGAGAAGAGATACATTTTGTATTCAGAGATAAAGGGTATACTTTGTTTTAACAATATGATCAGTTTATTTTTGCACAATCACACAGTTATAGCACAGTAACATGAAAATAAATCTAATTTACTGAGGTTTAATTGTGTGTGGGCTGTTCAAAACACAAACCGAAAAAGCTGTGGATGCTACAAATCAGAGACAAAAACAGAAATTGCTGAAAGCTCACCAGGTCTGGCAGCATCTGGCAGTGGAGAGAAATCAGAGTTAGCATTTTGGGTCTAGTGACCCTTCCTTAGAACGCAGACTGGCAATGTTAATACTGATTTCTCTCCACAGTTGCTGCCAGACCTGCTGAGTTTTTCCAGCAATTTATGTTTTTGTTTAAAGCATGTATTTTTACAAAAGTGTAAAAGCTATGAACAAAGCATGACTTTTGCTTTGAAGCTTTTATAAATGAGTCAATTGCTTTTTTTAATGTCCGGAGAGCTGGAAGAGAGAGAAATCCTAAACTGTTTTTTTATTAAGTTATGTTATCTTGTTTTTTAAATCAACATTTTTCCGGACTGTCAATATGAGTATCACTATTTGTATGGTGCCAGCTGACTACAATTTCTGGAAAATTCAGATAAGTAGTAACTATGGAACAAACACTTATATCATCCTCCTGGACTGTCATATTCCTTGGATTATATAGACATTACAGGCAAGCCAATACAATGGAACAACAGATGAGATGTCCACACCAGCCAGTTCCCAATAAAGCAAAGCACTGAAACACATTAAGTTGCAGATAATGCTAACAATCCGTGGTTACTTGCTACAAAACACAATGGATTTTAACGGCACACCTCAGATTATCTCATTCACTAAAATGTCTCAACCTGAAATCCTAGACATTTTAGTGAATGAGATAATCTGAGGTGTGCCATTAAAATCCATTGTGTTTTGTAGCAAGTAACCACGGATTGTTAGCATTATCTGCAACTTAATGTGTTTCAGTGCTTTGCTTTATTAAACCGAAGCTTCTAAAACAGGTTTAATTTTAGAACTTTGACTTATGTAATAACTTTGCTTGTAACAGGAGATGAGAACACATCAATTTGGGTCCAGACTTAGCTACCACCTGATTCTAGTTTCAATCTCTTTCAAAAGTCTGTTGCCTGGAAAGAGCCCTTTCCCCATGAACTAAGCCAATTTCCCATTTACAACTGTTGCATTTTCACCAGCAATTTGACAGTATCTGACTCCTACTGACTCCTACTCAACTGAAAGGGCCACTCACTGGACATTGAATTATTAGACTGTCTAATTCACGTGAACTAAAGCCAATATAAGCAATTTTAAGCAATTTGTGATGTGTAACTTCTCTCCTTTTCTTTCTGTTCCGTGGATGTGTGTGAGTGTATGTTCTGAACCATTTCCCTGGGTTTTGAATGCATGAGAAAACCTAATGTTGTTTTAACTCAACAGAAATTGGGTCATGGGTCAACCTTAAATCGGACTTCACAAACACAGATGAGCAAACATACTGCCTCTTGTTTTTTGAAAAAGGAAAAAGGAAAATGAAAAGAATTAAAAACCACATGTAATAAGGACAGAAGATGGCAACAGTAAAAATACACCAAATCACTTCTCCCTCCTATCCTTAACAAAGGTAGAAAATAAAACATACAGCACAGGAATGGGCCTTCAGCTGATGATGTTGTGCCAAACATGACACCAAATTAAACTAATCTCTTCTGCCTGCCCTTGGTCCATAGCTCTCCATTCCTTGCATATTCATATGCTTATCCAAAAGCCGCTTAAGTGCCCCTATCACATCTGCCTTTACTATCACCCCCTGCAGCGCATTCCAGATACCTACCACTCTCTGTGTAAAAACTTGCCTCTAACATCTTCTTTGAACTTTCCTCCATCACCTTAAATGCATGCCCCTATAATTAGACATTTCAACTCTAGGAAAAAGAGTTCAAAGTAAATTTTATTGCAAAGTTGGTAAACAATGATTTAACACTGCATGTTTTGAAGTAGCTTTTAATCAGTCAAATTGGCCACATTTTATAACTTGTAAGAACGTACTGATACATTTATCAAACACATTTCATCATAGGAAATTTACAATAAACTTCTGCAAACACCTGTACTCTGTACCTTTGACTACCAATAGGCTATATTCTCAAATTCAACTCTGATAGACTGCTCAGAGTGCGCAGACAAGTTGTTAAGTGTGTGGAATCAAGGGCGGGGTATGAAATTTGGCTTCAGAACAACTCCCTTGAGTGAGAGGTAACAGCTATGCACAACAAAACACTCACCAATGGAACTGTGCTTATGAAGTCTACTGTGTTGGCTTTCCAACCTCTCTGCCAGGTTCAAAATTGAGTTGTATGTGTGCTACTTTTGCCTACATTTTGTAAGGCAAAATAATGGGCAGTTCACTCAGCCAAGACCTAGAGTTCTATGAACTGAGAGTTTGTAGTCGAGATAATTGTAGGGATTCTGGATATTATTGTTGGCCAGCACATAGAAAGAAAGAACATAGTTACATTTCCAAACAGCTTTTCATGATTCTAAGATATCGCAAAGCACTTTACAGCCAATGGAAAACATTTGGATTGTAGTTATTAAATAATGGAGGAACAATGGCAACATAATAAAATCCTTCAAACAGCAATGAGGCAATGGTCAGATGTTCTGTTTATTGATGTTGGTTAAGAAATAACTATTGATAGGACACTGAGAAAATGTGTCATGTTATTCAAATAGTCAGTGGAATTACTCATGTTCATTGGAGAGGACAAATAAGGTCTTGGTTTAATGTCTTAGTCAAAATATGGCACCCCTAACAGTGTAACACCTGATAACACTGCACCATACTGACCAAATTGTGGTTAATGCACTAACAAGAGTACTGCGTTCATGTTCAGCTGGTAGATGGTGTCGAGACCCTGGAAGATATTCAGAGGAAGGCAATTAAATTATACTTAGCTGAAAGGTCTTGAGTTACAATGAATGTCTTGAAAACAGGATTATTTTCCAATAAAGCATCACGGACTTAGAAGGAACAGAGTGTGGAGCTGGAGGGACACAGCAGGGCAGGCAGCATCAAAGGAGCAGGAAAAGCTGACGTTTCGGTCAGGACCCTTCCTCTTTTTATCCTGAAGAAAGGTCCCAACCCGAAACGTCAGCTTTCCTGCTCCTCTGATGCTGCCTGGCCTGCTGTGTTCCTCCAGCTCCACACTGTGTTATCTCTGACTCCAGCATCTGCAGTTCTTACTATCACAGACTTAGAAGGATTCAGTTGCATTGCTTAAAACAATGAAGGAACTAAATTGTCCATATGAATACATTATTTGAGCTCATATACTTGAGGGAGTGACATACATACAAATTATGTAAGCTTAGAGCTAAGTTATACTTGGCTTAGGATTTTTACCCTAAGTTGTTACGTTATACAACAACAGGTAATTTGACACAACCTTCTATTAAGTACCACCTACCCTTCATGGCTAAAGACAGCTCATAAATGCACAAGCTATTGATCTCATCATGAACTTCAAACACATGTTGCTTCGACCAGAAAACTCGCACCCCCAAACCATCTGCCCAGAAACTTCAATGACATTGAATCTTTCCTCAAACAGATGTCCTTCTAGCTTGGCAGCCAATAATTTCCTCACTCGCCAGATATACCAAAGTCCTGTGTGCACTTAAATAAACCAAACAACTGTGGATGTAGGAGATCTGAAACAAAAGTAGAAAATGCTGGAGAAACTCAGCAGGTCTGGCAGCATGTGTGGGAAGAAGGCAGAGTTAACCTTTCAGGTCTGGTGACTTTTCATCAGGTGGTGATAGTTCAGCATAAAATTTTTGTTTATGATTGTTTGTATACCTCTAATTATTCATTACTGTTTATCTTTCAGGATAAAGATTTTTAGATTACTTTGTTTAATGTAAAGTATGCAAACATATGAATAAGGAGCAGGAGGAGGCCATTCAACCCCTCAAACCTGCTCCATCATTCAATAAGATCATGACTAACCTGATTGTAACCTCAAACCCACATTCCTGCCTACCCCTGAAAGCCTTTCATCCTATTGTCTAACAAGGATCCATACAGCTTTGCCTCAAAAATATTCAAGGACTCTGCTTCCACCACCGTTTCAGGAAGAGAATTTCAAACACCTATGATCCTCTAAGAGAAAAAAAATTGCCTCAAAGCTGTTTTAAACAGCATTCGATTCTCCCAAGGATGGAAAGATCATCTCCACATTAACCATGTCAAGTCTCCTTGGGATCTTATATGTTTCAATCAAGCTGCCTTTTACTCTTCTAAACTCAAGCAAATAGAAGACTAGCCTATGCAATTTTTCTTCATGAGGCAACCCACTCATTCAAGTTATTAGTCCAGTAAACTGTAGCCAGACTGAATTGCATGCTGGTATATTCTGAGGAACTGAGTGGATCTAATCAAATATGGGCATAACAAACTACAGGCTCAACAGCAGAAGACAACATAGTTAACTAAGGTAATGAGACCTTGTCTGGTGAGATAAGCATCAGGAGATAATCTGGTCAGCTGGAATAATGAGATTGTATCTCCTGAAACGATATGAGTTGGTGGCTTGCTACATGCAGGAATGCAGGTACCAACTCACACAGCTCTTTGAGAAATACGACATACATATACTGGTGAACAGAA